GCTACTAATTTCATCGAAATAAAACAAGTTTATATTATACCCTCCTATCACTCTGCTAAGATGCAACATAAATGGCCGCCATTGCACGTGTAACTTATTATTATTTATCATTATTATAAAATTGCGGCTCACGCAATGCAGAGTAACACCCTAACACCTCAACGGAATTACCCGGGGCTCAGCCGCTCCAAATTACCACTCCTCTCAAACAAAATAACATATGTTATTAGGCGTGATAGTATACTGAACTTTCCTTACAATTTCTATTTTTATTATTTGTGTTTAAACATCTTTCTTTTCCAATTTTTTTTTGTCTAATTAATTGTTTTCCTAGTCTGGCCGTACCTGTGCAATGACACGGTAGTGTTTATGAAGTGAGTCTGTGAAGAACAGCACAAATTTTCATTACTCTACTACTCTGTACAAAAGAGTTTACCCAGGATTTTCATAGCGCAGTGTAGCATACTACAGTACACCCAACATAATTCCGGCTGGCTGCACATTAGTCTATAGTCAACCGTGGTTACCATACCTCCATTATTTTTGTAATTTCGTAAATACGTCATGTGGCATATACGAAAAAGCTTTGTAACGTGGATGGCCAGAGCGTTGCTAGGTAAGAGACCGATAAACACGTTCGTAACAATGGAACAACGAGGATACGCAACTCGCTTCTAGGCAACGGCTCAGTAAACAGACTTCTGTGCAGGCGCAGTGTCACACTGCAACAGTACTATCACGTGACTTGTTTTCTGTGGTCGGTGCGGAGGCTATATAACGGGACTCCAGGAATAATCAGGGCAGTAAGCCCGACATAGAAAATATAAGAGGTTTAAACTTGGCGGCGGTCAGACATACGCCCGTTCAAGTGACTGGACTGCCGTGGTAGCGAATACTGCTAGAGATAGGGCATAGTCTGCTGTACTGAGCCTGGACTAACAGAGGCATTGTATATATTGCACATAGAAATAGGAATTAAGATTAAATTTGTAAATATATGTAAATACTGACAATGAACTTACTTACTAATACAGGCTACGACTGACAAATCACAGACCCGACCTCTCGTCAGAGAGGACAGGACAGTAACTTTCATATAAGAAGAAACATCTGGTCATGAGCTCCAGCTGGGGCTCGACACCAAGACAGACAGACAGACAGACTGACCGACCGTCAGTCGCAATGTGACTTTGACTAACCAGGGCAGTGTTTCAGAGTACTTGAGAGTTTGTTAGTGTTTAAGTAACAGTGAGAGGGTTCTCGATAGGAGACAGCCACAAGAAGTTCGTCGTTTGACTAGAAGACTTTATTTATGTCTAATATTGGCTGTCGCTCGGTCGGTATAGTTCGCTTGCGGACTACAAGCCACGGAGTGTACGTATATGGGCCAAATTCGTAGGACGATTAATGAGTAATGAATTGGAAAAATTTAGAAGGGATTGGTCGTGGTGTAATTTAGGGTGTTATACCGGCACTGGAAATAGTGGGGGAAATTGGAAAGAAACTTCAATGATGATAGCTCGAGGACACTGAGTATCAGACTCATGCCAATGTGTTCTGAATGGATAGTACGTTACACTTAGCATAGAGAGAAAAAGAAAACTGAATCGGACTGTTGACTGAAATAAGCAGGAATACTTGCGGGCATCGCCATGTTTTGACTGCGGCATGAGAAGTGTCGGGTTCCCTCATTATATCATCATCATCGCATCATCATGAAAACACAATCGGGCAAGATTACAGGGCGGCAGGGAGGTGTAGGACCGCCGCAACAGGAAAATTGGTTACGAAATCCCTCACGCCTCCAGCCCCTCCGTAACCGTCACACTTTTAGTGTTAAAATATGTATATACATATATATTAATGAAATTTCTCCTCAGGGTAAATATTTCTATCATATTATTCATCATCATCATTGGCAAAACATTTTTTCTTTTTGAGCCACAGCCTTCCTCAGAAGATTCTGGTAGACGTGTCTGAATTAGATCATCCGGTTTTCGCTTCTTTGGATTTCGTCGTCAGTCTTGCGTCCAACCTCCCATCCTGGTCGCTCCGCCAGGTGGTTGTTGCTAGGCCTCTCTGTCTGCTCCGGATCCAAGATTTGTTTCGAAATGTGTCCTCCTCCTCCTCTTCGACGAGGGGAGAGGTCTGTCTGTGTAGGCGCTACTGAGTTCTCTCTGTAAGGTAAATTGCTGCTGGTCCTCGGCAGCACAGTTATTCCTTGATCCGATTTCTGCGCGACACATGACCATATTATACTGTCTCAGATTCGAGGCTCCCACAACCTGGAGGACCGGATCTTTGTATTTATTTTCTCCAGAGACAGGATGGCCCAGTTATACCACGAAGCACTGAGTTCCCTTTTCGTCGCCTTCTACGACTCTCAGGGGTATGGTGGAGGTATTCTAACCCACCTCCACACAAGGACCCAAACCTGGAAGGCCAGCTCTCTGTATTTATGTTCTCCAGTGACAGGATGGCTGAGTTGTACCCGAGACCTTCCGGTCTGTAACATAGTGCCTCAGCCAACTACGCTCCCGCATGTCCCCGAAATGATATAGACTAATTAAATATAAAGTCGAAGAGCGTGCCTAATATCTTCTAGGATATACCGCCGTGTAGTCTGGAAGAACTTTACTGACGTTTCGGGAGAACAGTAGGTTGCGAGCGAGGACGCGGCTGTTCGGTCTCTGTATTGTATTAAGTTTTGATTGCTACCTGCTTCATGCTGTTGCCTACTTGGCTTGCTCTTCGACCTTGAACACGGAGGCCATATATTCCTCCGAAACATCGGTTGATTTTCAAACTACTCGGCTTTTTAACCCAGAAGACAGAATCTTCATAACCACCGCTCTGAGAAGCTCAAATTCTACACGTGTATTATTTATTTATTCGCAGTTTATATAATTACACTGTAACAAACTCAATGATTGGATGTCCGTAAATAATGGATTATAGTGCCTGAGGAATAAAGTGTTCGTAATGTACTTTAAGGAAACATTCCAAAGATTACCTGGCGGCGCTGAGGAAGACCACGTAATACCAGTCTGAATAATCTTTATCCCGGACGAAATTCAAATTTGGAACATCAAGAATAGAAGCAAAATTTTTATGAAGAGTTCTGCCTTCTGGGATATAACGCCATGTAAGGTTTCTCCCTGAAGAAGGAGGCGACATGCTCCACCCGAAACGTCGACATTATACCATAGAATTCAGAACTCTTCATATTCATCACTGTAAGAACCTCAGATTACGCTTTGTGGATATTTTTGCTGTAAAATAGTTGTGGTGTATAGCAGCGTCTGTCCAACAGATTCCGTGAAACCGTTCCGACTGGTTTTCATCTGTACAGCAACGTTTCTGCTCCAGGAGTTCAGTGAGGACCTGTTGTACAGTTCAGGGCTCCTGAGGACCCCGGTCTGTTACAGCGCCTGGTTTATCTTCCCTCCCCGAGATCACTTAATCCTGTCTAGCGAATTTCAGCCTCTCTAAGCAGACGAGTCGTGAGGGGGATTTTGCGTCGACCCTCGCTTGTTATGCAAGGCAGCGTCAGTTGGGCAAAGCCCCCTCCCCGACGCCCTCCCAGTGCGGATGGATCTAATGCTATTTCTCCAGTACCAACTCCCCCGTCTTCTGCCACGTATCCCTGTTTTCATCCTTCAGTTCCCGTACACCCTCTTGGTCCAGCTTCTGGCTGTGTACGTAAAAACAAGAGATTTGGGTTTCTTTGATTGAAGGATTATATGTACCGTGGCAGAGTGTTGAGCAAGATGCGTGCCGCACATACGGAAAGGGTTACGCGGATATGCCGTTTCTTTGGGGGGGGGGATCCCATGCAAATCAAAATAAATGCCAACGTTCAGACCACGAGCCCAGAGAATTGCTTTAACTCGCACTTTCCTTTCGTCTAAACATTCGCTCCAATATATATCTATGTAATTTATGTCCCAGCGAATATTAATATTGTTTTATGTAAACTGCCCAAATAGGGTGGGGGGGGGGCTAAGCCTAAAATGCCTAAAAATATATTGTGACATATAGAGCCGTTGCTACGAAACGAGCTGACAAACACTTCTTGGAAAGTAACTGGTTACGGAACACATTTCCATGGATACGAGTGATCAACAAACATTTCCTTGAATACCGACATAAACGGTCGTTCAGATCAGACTGAACTGAGTCGCAAATCAGAAGCGAGTCGTGGTTCAGAGCAGAGCGGAGAGAGTCCTACGCAGTCCTTCATGTGAGTTATTGCAATTGGTACGAATGAGTCTACAAGAAGCTGTTAATAAATCCAGTCCTCCAATCCCAAACCCGTTATCATTAGCTACAGCCATAAACTCTTGACATTATATATATGTAGCCGGAAGGTCGCGGGTTCGAGTTCCGATGAGGTGAATTTTTTCGATTTACCTGATCCTTCTAGCCGCACTATGGCCCTGGGGTCTACTCAGCCTGTAACAGAATCTTACTGGGGTGGGGGGGGGGGTAAAGGGCGGCCGGCGCGTAAGGCTGACAACTTTACCGCCATCTGTGAGCCGATTATCCAGAGAAAATGTGGGAGCCTCGACGTCTCATAACCCTGTGGGCCTCATATAATATATTGAAGGATATGGGCGAGGCAGATCGCCTCTGTGGCCTAGTGGTCAGAGCTCCTGGTTACAGGCCCAGAGGTTAGGGTTCGATTCCCGGCGTTACCATATTTTCTGATAAGTAATGAGTCTGGAACGGGGTCCACTCAGCCTTGTGGTGATAATTGAGGAGGTATTTCAAGGAAATAGCGGCTCCGGTTTAGAAAACCGAGATTAACGGCCGTGGGGATTCGTTGCTCTGACCACGCGACACCCTCTATCCGCTAAAGTTGGCAATAAAATTCGCCGACGAGCGGCGGTCGCTCGGTCGGTATAGTTTGCTTGCGGGTTTGTTTGTTTGTTTATGGTCGAGGCTAACCAGGAAACTATGTCGCTGTGAATCTGCTGACTGTATTCGTGTTTGTGCAGGGACCCAATGGACGCCTTGTTCATGGAGCAGCACTTCCTCCGGTCGCCCCTCAGGCTCTACTCAGAGATGGACGCCGAGAACAACAACAGCCTCTTCTCCGCAGCCATGATGGAGAAAGCCCGGGCTCACCTCCAGATGTGGGGACGAACCGGAGGTCCACCTTACTCGACCGCCGAACTGCACACACTTCTGATGAACGGTGCTGGCCCGGGGGCCGGTCCTCCTGTGGGCCCACCTCAGATGTACGCCCTTGGGAGTCCTAGTCGAGGTGGTCCACCCCCTTGCCAACTCCCCATGCCCCTGCCTGCTCATCTGTGGGCTAGTGGCGGCGGTGGCGGACAGCCGCCTTCACCCTGGTCGTCACCGGCTTCAGTGCACGCCAGTCTACCACCCGGACTGCTAGGACCGCCACCCCTTCCACCCCCCAACGCTCACTCACATCCTCAGTTGACACCCCCTCCACCTGCAACGTCATCCTCTAGTTCCTCCGGGTCCCCTTCTCCCTCGTCATCTTCATCTCCTGCGGAGCTCCGTCTGCCAAGGCCAATCTTTCCCGGGATGAGCGGGCTGCAGCAGCGATACAGTCCCTACCACCTAGTCCCTAAGCAACTGTCTCCTCCTGCGGCGGCCGAGAGCAGGAACTGAACCTCTGACCCACAGTGTTCATGTGTGACGTGATGCCCAATCAGATATGGCAAACACTTTTCCTATGTGCCGCTGTACTGGATGCATAGCAACGACCCAGTAACACTACCCGCAGGCAGGGGAACGATTTTAGGAATATGACGCCGTGTAGTCTGATAGACCTTGACCAAGGTTCATCTGAAGCACAGCTGAGACCAGAGCCAAGTAAAAGCTGCAACCCTTTCCAATTGTCCATATTCAGTGGGTTCCTGGTCACTTTCCGCGTGGATAAGGCGACAGAGGCGTGAAGTTGTTCACTCGCCTTCAACTAGTGCTGAGGTCAAGAATGATGGAGCTATACCTCCACTCCCCCGTACGTCTTCGTAGCTCGGTGTTTGATTAATTGAGAAGAAGGAAAACTTTAACTTACTTCAGAAACACAGACAAGTATCTACCAGACTACACGGCGTGACACCACAGAAGACAGTATATTCCATAGTCACCGAGGGAGTGGTCTGTTATGTCATGAAACTGTCATCGGTAGGTATTCAGATGTTCTGTTCTGGATTGTGACAGTTGTATTTGGTGAGTGGTTACCATTCTCCTGCCTCAGTCTTTATTGTGCTACTTTCATCAACATTTGGAAGTAGCAAGAAGCCAAACATGAAGCCTTCGCCGTGGTTAAAATTGATGGAATCTTATCGAGCTGTCATTCAGCTGGCTAAAAAATTGACCAACGTTTCATTTACTACCAAATTTGTTCCATGAAACGTCGGTCATTTTAAACAAATGCCAGGGGACGTAGCTCGTTGAGGCACTATGCTACAAGCCAGAAGATCTCACGTTCGAGTCCCGATGAGGTGGAATTTCTTTCAATTTACCTAATTCTTCCAGCCGCACTATGACCCTGGGTTCGACCCAGCCTCTAAAAGAAATGAGTACCAGGAATCTTCCTGGAAGGTAAAGTGCAACCGGCGCGTAAGGCTGACAACCTCACCGCCATCTGTGAGCCGATTGTCTAGACGATGTTGGAGCCTCGACGTCTCACAACCCTATGGGCCTCCATGGCCCGTTACAAGGATAGCTTTACCTTTTACCAGAGAAGATATTCCTGAGAATATTCTATTAATTTAGTAGCTTCTTCAGAAATTTGGTAACCACCTAACCGGATCATAATTTGAATTCTTTGCCGATGAGATCAGAAATATCAACAGTTACACTGTTCCCAGCTTCCCTATCGTCACCTTGACGCGTAGCGAGACGGGCCTCTGAGCAGTTGGCCAGGAAACGTCAAAATAATATTGCATTTACATTTCAAAATTAAGAATGGAATATTAAATTTATGTCAGTGATCAAACCGAGGCTATCATCGATGTGTATCGTATTAGATGCATCGGAGAAGGCCATGTTCTTAATCTTCCTGCAGGGACTTGCGAAAAATTCTAATGTCCCATGAGACTGATATTATATATAACGGGTTTTAAATTGATGAAATAATCTCGGGAGATAAGCCGCGTAAATCATGATCAGAAATCAGATGTTTCGGATATAAGATCTCACTCCATCATCATGGAAATTATGTGATTTATTAAAATTTGTTTATTGTCGATCGCTCTTTGATGGATAAGGCAGAGATGTATATTCTAACGGGTTCTGACGATGGTGTATGAGAACCGTTTACTTTTGTCAGCGGGAGATAACGGGAAAGCATGAAATACAGATTGAGATAATGCATGTACAAACCTGAAACTGAAATAGAAAAAGAAATGGAAATTAAATAATACAAGAACAGTGCTAACAAACCCAAATCCATAAACACCAATGCATGGAATTAATTTTAAGGTTTTCATGTCTTAAAAGCATTTTTTTGCCGCCTCTAGCGCCATCTGCGTGACCGAAACAGATGTAGTTTCCAAAACATCATGTTCTTTACAATACCAGGCGATGAAGAAAGTCCAAAACCACATTAATCCCGAAAGTCAGTAATGGATTCCGAATCTTTTGAAATTCTGCTCCGAATTCACGCGACAGACCGCCTCAAGAATTATTTTATCATTTTAATCGCCATAAAAACTTCAAGTCTTTTTAGAAACATTTTTTTTTTTAATTTTTAAAGTTACAGGTATAGATAGTGGAACATGTTAAACCAAAGATATGAGTGTACATAGAATTTGAGCTGGCTAATATAGATGTTTGTGTGATTAGTCAGATGTGTACCTTATGTAGATGGGGCTTAAGGATGTATCTGTTTAGATAATATTTATTTTAAGTTCTCATAATAAAATAAACGGAATGTACTTTGTATATTTGTGATAAATTCAATTTACGGGATTCTGGCCCGTCTATTTCGGTAATGTCCAAATTAAGACTAGAATGTAAGGTTTCATTTACGTATGTTTACTTGTACGAAAAGAAAGAGACCCGAAAAGTATATTGACGTAAATATACGTCCATGAATTTTTCGTGTATGAGTACATCTTGTTGAAGATCAGTCACTTGTTTCGAATTTGAGTTGGTTAGCTCAGTCATTGTAATGAGTAAGCTGTGGGGTGGATTCCAGTTGGAGATGGAGGTTTCTGCCTTCACCATCAGCGTCCGACCCAGCGAGTAACAGGGGACTTTCCCTTGGGGTAAAGTGGTTAATGTGTGACACAAAGCACTTATCTGCATCTATTACCGAAGTTTAGCAAAGGCTGGAATTATAGAAGGTGTTTGGGGCCCGTAGTTCTCTGTAAGTTTAATCCCAGGGGAGGCGCACTTCGGTACCTGGTTAATAGGAAGGTGGGTGGGTCTCAAAGCCGGTCTAGACTCGGGAAAAATCTCCTAACCCCGCAAGTAGATCCACAATTCCTCGGCCGTCGCAGCCCTCCTATACCAATCGAGTTATACCGACTCCCGGGCCGCGCCATAGCTCAAGCGGTTAGTCGCTGGCTTCCCACCGCGCCGTCCCAGGTTCGATCCCGGGTGTGATCAAGTGGGATTTGTGGTGGACAAAGTGGCGCTGCGGCGGGTTTTCTCCAAGTACTTTGGTTTCCCCTGCCAATCTTCATTCCACAAATTCCTCCACAATCACCCTCACCTGTCATTTGGGGCTGGTACAAACGGCCAGAAGTGTCCGCAGTACAAGGGACTTAGTCCCACCGCACTAGCAATAAAAAAAATTATACCGACTCCCGCAGTTTAGTGAAATTAAATTAAATTAAGTTATTTGTCCCGGTAGGGTCAAGAATTTTCTCTTCTTCGCGTTGTCCAGACCGTCTCTGGAGTTCACCCAATCTCATATCCAATGGGTACCGGGGATGAAGCGACCGTGGCGTGAAGCTGATCACTCACCTCCAACTCATGTCGATCTATACATCCACTCCCCTATACGTCTTCATGGCATAGTGCTTAATTAGTTAAGCACAGGAACAAATTTACCTTATTTTAGTTTATTTACTTAGAACATAAATTCGCGAGTTCCAAATATATGGTAATTTTTTTTTTTCAGAATTGAGTTCCTAGCAGGGATTTTAGTCGGGGTAATATGGGACTGAAATACAGCATTTGTATAAAAATCATTTCAGAAATTGGAAAGTTCTAAGCATTTCAGAATGATGTGGTGTGATATTATGGCTTATACAGGTATTATAGCCTGTTTATATCAAGTGGGGGGGGGTCCACTTGAATTAAGCTGTTAATTATATGACGTCTGAAAAACAAGAGATCAGTAACTTAAGGGATAATTTTAAAAACTATAAAGTAATTCTTACAGTATTATGATTAGTGCGAGTCTTTTGGATAAGTGTGGACTCTTAAGAGAACTGCATTTTACAGACTTAATTATTGATGGAAAGAACAATATTAATTTCGACAGTATGACAGATTAGTTTAATATTGTAGACTACGTAAATCATATCAGTATTGGTTTTGGGACCTCTTGTTAATTGCGAACTTAGATGAAGAAAGCAGTCTTCTGGGATGTGGCACCATGTAGATGTGGTGTTAACCGACGTTTCGTAGGAACGTAGGAAGAGACCAGTCTCTTCGCTTGCGAATTTTCTTATTTTTCCTTCTACCCTGAAGATGGAAGCGATACGTTCCTACGAAACGTCGGTTAACACCACATCTACATGGTGCCACATCCAAGAAGACTGCTTTCTTCATACTCACCGCCATGAAAACCTCAGATCTTACTTAATAAATGAGTATCACAATTCTTCGTCACCATGGAAAAGGCGTGTTATGATTTATTATTGTAATGTAGTTTAAGCGAAAATATTTCTTTATATCGAATATTAGTATTCCTACATATTGTATAAGGCTCCATATTCTAGTTTAGTTATTACTGACCCGTCATATGCGCACGCAGTGCGTTTAGATTTATACTGGAAAAGACATAACCCAAAATATCCAGATTTCAATTAATTAAATGTAAAAATTATAATAACATATCAGAATAACAATTTGGAGCATTCACGCATAACAGTCAATCATTTCTTTTTCATTGTATCTAATACCAATAACTTAGTGACAATTTTTGTTACACTTATTATGTGTATCGCTTTTTAACACAACATGATTCTTTCATAAATGGCCAACTTCAGGTGTCTTAATATATTAAAACTGCTACACTGCATAAATATGCGCTAAAATCACACGCTGTTTTCCACTTAATATGTTAAAAAATATAAAATAAAATCCATTAAAATTTTCATTATGTGAAACACTACTCCACCTCACAATTGGTGTTCACTTGTTTAGAACTGTGTTTATCTTCAGGTGTTTTATTGCAGCAGCATTAAGTGGACTACAGCGTGTGATTTTATCGCATATTCTTGGAGTGTAGCAGTTTTGATATATTAAGACACCTGAAGATGGTCATCTAGGGCCGAAACATGTTGTGTTAAAAGTGTAAGTGGAAGAAAAAGGAACAATTTGTTGCATTATTGACAGACTGTGTTCTACGTAGACGTTTTATTATGACTTTCAACAGGATGCCTGAATATAGAATTTATCTACAAGTTTTGTTCTGAATATTTTTCGCTTCGACGAATAGTTATCAAGTTAAAAGCTAGTTACTCCCAACATGTGAGGAGAATCTCATGTAGGCCTTCACTTGAAGTGTCTGTTCTTGCTGTTCTAATGAAAATCGGAGTGGAAAATTTAGCTTTAACCTAATAACTCTGCTCTTTATAATAATTACAAGGCCAAAGAAATAAACCATTTGAGAGACATAATCATAGATGGAGGATAATTAAAAAAAAAGAATCTTAGATAAATATGCTGTGACAGTGTGTACTGGAATCAACTGCATTTATACAGTGCCCAAATGAGACCTATCCAAAATCCCTTCAGGTGCTTTGTCTAGCTGAGCAACTGTTTCAAATGTTTGGGTTACCAACTTCATGATTCCGAACTGACAGCTGATATGGAGGAAGAAGTCGAAGCAGGAACTTGTCAGGACGTTACAAGGAGCACTGATTTTGAAACTAAGCATAGGGGATACTTTGAACTTAGTTTCAAACCCGTAGCTCATGGCGCAAAAAAGACTTAACGGCAGAAAGAATCAGACATCTTAACATAATATTTTGTCTACTGCAATTCTATATTAACCTTCGCTGTTCACCAGTATTTTTACCCTTGGTTTTTATTCGGGGGTTTCCAGGTGCCAATCTAGCTCATACAATCAGCTACAGTGACATATCTGTTAGTCTCTCTTTTTTTATTGCTAGTGGGGTGGGACTAAGTCCCTTGTACTGCGACCACTTCTGGCCTATTGTACCAGCCCTAGATGATAGGTGAAGGTGATTGTGGAGCAATTGGTGGAATGAAGATTGGCTGGGGAAACCGAAGTACTCGGAGAAAACCTGCCCCAGCGCCACTTTGTCCACCACAAATCCCACTTAACCAGACCCGGGATCGAACCCGGGCCGCCGCAATGGGAAGTCAGCGGCTAACCGCTTGAGCTATGACGCGGCCCTCTTAGTCCTGTTTGAAATGCGTTGTGGAAGATTCCTTCCTATTTCTTTTCTATACATCGTTCATACAAATATTCTGTCATTTCAAATTTACATACGCTTAACCTGAGCGGTTTTAGGTATCTCTGAATAACAAAACAGTAGAAAATAATAACGGAAAACCAGCCACATTTTCTTACGTACCGTAATTTCGCGATAAAACACTTGAAATTCGCAACGGATTTCACACTGAGTTTTTGCGGTTCTCCATATTGTGGAGCCATCTGTTAAGAAATCTTGGAATGAGTGTGAACACATGTAAGTTCGTAATGATTTTTAAGAGTAAGGTACTACCCGAAAGTGGGTAGGTTTGCCCTGACCCCAAAGTACCATAAAGATATAATGAAACTAAGTTGTCATATTATGGCCGCTGCCTTCCCAACGCGGCGGCCCGGGTTCGATCGCGGGCCTCAAGTGGGATTTGTGGTGGACAAAGTGGCGCTGTGGCAGGTTTTCTCCGAGTACTTCGGTTTCCCCTGCCAATCTTCGTTCCACCAATCTCCACGATCACCCTCACCTATCATCTGGGGCTGGTACAATAAGCCAGAAGCGGCCGCAGTACAAGGGACTTGGACCCACCCCACTAGCAATACAAAAAGTTGTCATATTAATAGTGACTAATAAATGTTCATCGGTGTGATTGTTTCTATCCTCAGGTTGGATATTGATCAGAATTCACAAGTGAGAGATTCCTTAAAAAATATTCACTTAACGTCTTATTGCAATGACAGGTTACAATGTACGTACTTTGATTATTATTTTCTTGAATTTAAATGTTCCTTTTTCTAAAATTATTTGCTGTTGTAATAATCAAGAAGCAATTAGCAAGAAGGTCCCATTAAGTTTCCATGTAGGTCTACTCTACTAGGCCTATGTGTTAGTTTCCTAGCAGATTATTATAATTCGAACGAATGGCATGTATTGACTTAGAACTGATCGTGCAATCTCACAAGTGTATTGTTTCAGTTTAGTATAAAGTTTTTAAGTATTTCATGTTTCTGTTCTTCAACAGTAAGTTTCTCAACTTAAAATATCATTAAGATTGTAGTCTTCTGGAATGTGACATTGTGGAGTCCTGTACGCTAATAATGGCGTTTCGGAGGAACATGCTACTTCCAGTCTCAGGGTTGAAGCGTGTAGGGTGATAAATCTGGTCGGTTGCATAAGTGGGTTGCAAGAAATTTCTAGACTTAATTTCATAAAATTAAAACAAAAAAAAATCAGATCATCAGTACAACATTTTAAATACAGTGTTTCTCAAGCTGTGGTCCGCGGCGGTCCACAGGATGGATGGTAGTATTGTATAGTCCATGAACATATACTATTATACGACGTGTAATACACAATAAATGAATTAAATATTGTTATTAATCAGTGTTTAAAAGTTTACATTAAATTGATTGATTTTATTTATGGCAACCTTTTCTATACTTTTCCTTCCTTTTCTAGAGAAATCGCAATTGCTTGCTCTTGCGGCTAAGGGGAATATTACGATAGATGTGTGGTCCGCGCATGCGCCGACCGCCAGTGCTATGGCCCTTAGTTGTCGAAATTTAAGAAGCACTGCTTTAGAGCACGGGATGGCATTGGTTTAATTATTTCGGAAACTGAAAGATGGTCAGAAATTTTTACTGAATGTAAAAATGTGTATTTAATTTCCCGCTAATTTCAGTCCGAAATGGTTTTTCTTTTTTCTAGAGGAGGTCGGAAGTTAATGTGGTTCTTTATGCAAAGTTTCCGATGAAGGTCACTCATACCTACGGGAGGAGGTAGAAAATTCCAGAAGATCACAATCCTATAACTACTGCCCCGAAACACTCAGAACTTATTTCAGAACTTCATTAAATTGATTGAAATGCGTCTCGTGTAAAATGTAAAGCGATTGTCAGTGGTTTATGGGGTCGTTTCAATACCGGCGGCATTAACTCTGTGCCAAATTTGATTAAAATGAACTTAGAGAAGACTATAGAACTACAGATTTGATCTCTTCATAAGATTTAAAACTTTTAGGTAATTAAAAATATCAAAGACCAATATACAATGCTATAAAATTTATGTGCAAGCAAGTATATGTATATATATTTCGCATAAGTATTAGCATATTCTTGAGGTTGTTACCGTACAATGTGAGGTGCTTATCACGTGTGTCACTGAGTGTCCTGAGGGTGTGAGTGTGGCCTTCAGTATAACTTATTGTAACAGTCAAAGTGAATGAGTGAAGTTGGTGTCAATAACGGATTACATTTTAATGTATGGTTTCATATTTTGTAAATATAAACTGTCTGTAAATATAATATGTTGGTGATGTAATGTGTAAATAGTACATAAAATTGTGAATGATAAATTTAAGATATTGTTATTTAATTAACCTCTCTTCTGTGACGACAGCTTTTCATTCCAAATGATCCGTTTCAAGAAAGTGTAAAGTACTATTTGGTGCCTTCCAGATAATCGTTGGAAATTAATACGATATAACATTTGGATTTTTTTTTTCAGTTGCTCTTCGAGCCCATTCACGGCCCAGGCCTCTTATTCAGTTCCGTAATCATTTTTTACAGACTGTAGGGCTCTTTTGACAGGTAATCAGACCGTCGCAAGGCCTCTACCTAAACACAGGACAACACAAATACAGAATAAACTCATACACACACCCAAACATCCATGCCCTCAGTGGGTTTCGAACCCACGATCCCAGCGTCGGAGCAAACGAAGACAGTTCATGCTTCAGACCGCGCGGTTACTGTAACCGGAGATCAGTGTACATTAATATTTGGATTATTAATGTGTAGTTGGCGCAATATTTTGAGAGCAGTACATATTAGCTTTGTATATAACGCACGTTTACTACCATGGTACTTCAAAAAGATAAAAAAAAAATGGGCCAATGGTAGGCTTAAACGGTTTATTTTACAATTCTGTTGATGTCAGGACTGTACAGTGCCGAATGGTAAGGTGATTGGTGAGTAATAGATTGTGAAGTACTTGCAAGATATGTTCGAGATAATAAGCGGAACTTGCGTGGTGGGGCTGAGGAAGATCATGAACAAGCTCAGGTTATTTGGTATCCCAGGCAAGATTTGAAAGTAGAACCTTCCGACGGATGTCTGAAGTTTTGTCCCTATACCAACCTGCTAGGCGTTTCAATATTATTTTAAAACATAGTCCGAAACCGAAATATTCTCAAGCATTTTAATTTGAAGTATTATGAGTTGTAACATAGTGTATACTTTCGATTAAAATAGACATTTAGATCCTGAAAATCATAGGCAACTTTCCTCCGAAACGTCAGTTTCTACCTTCAAGAATACACGGTGTTATAATCCAGACAGTTATATTCTAAAATTTCATTGTGCAGCCGGTGTAAATTTCAGGTCTCATAGGCCTATGGTTAGGCATTGCTATGGTTCTTGTCTGTTTCCAGATTTACTTCGCTTTAAGATGACATCCTTCACGAAATATTCACCTGTGTTGTGTAAAGAAGGCTGTAGCTCCCAGTGTCTGGATGAGCGTAGGCTCAACATAACTTTATTCATCTATCCGCCATTGCCCTGACGTAATTAGGAAGTAATACAATTTTAAGTCAATCAATCCATTATAGCATTCATTCTCGTCCTCTTGCGAATTTAAAAAACTGACATTAATTTTTGGATAAATTAAAACGAAAGAAATAAAAAACTAGAACAGACGTACAAAGAAAGAATTTTATATTTTCTAACTTCTGGCGAATGCAGAATCCTAGATTCAAATTCTGGTTCAGACTAAAAATTGTAAAGTGAATTTAATTTTAATTTTTTTCTCGCATCAGTCAGATATTAAGACGAATTATTAATCAGTCTTTGACTATGTATAAAATACAAGGGGGCCCCAAAAATGCATACACAATTCAACGTACAGAATATCTGCTTACATATAAATAATTGGCATATCTACGGTTCAACTTTGAAAATATCCGTACATAAACTGGAAGGTCGCGGGTTGGAATTCCGTTGAGGTCATTAGATTCTTCAATTGATCTAATCCTTCCAGCCACGCTATGGCACGGGGGTCGACTCTGCCTCTTAACAGAAATGAGTACCAGGAATCTTCCTGGGGCTAAAGGGCAGTCGGCGAGTGAGGCTGATAACCTCACAGCCATCTGTGAGCCGATTGCCTAGAACATGTGGGAACCTCGACGTCTCACAACCCTATGGGCCTTCATGGCCTGTTACAAGGATACCTTTACCTTTTTAACTTTGTTAAAATTGTTATAGAGGTTATCTACGAACATAGTTCTACTGTATCTTCAGAAGTAGATATTTGCAATAACCTCGTATGGCAGTGAGGTATGCGAGCTCGCAGTTAGTGAATATGTGTACTGTGAATATTTCAAAAGTCTTATTTAATTATTTGCTCGACAGAAATGCGAATTTCAACAAGCATATGCTCAAAAACACGAATCCTTATAAACCATGAGGTGTCCTCTTCTGTGATGATATCACCACGGTAACTGTAGCAAGTCTCTTTCCTTCCACGGGTGTAACGATATCTGTCGATTAGTCAGCCGAATTCTGCCGATGAAAGAGAGACAAATGAGCATCGTGAAGCACGATGGTGCATGCATATACGAGGGAAGTTGTGGAGAAGGTATTTGTGTGTTCTTTTTTGAGGTGTTGTTTCTGCTGAAAACGTTAAAACATAGTGTGATAGTGTGTGAAATTGCATGTAGTTTTATTTGTTATATTCAGTGTACTTTAAGAACATTCCAACATGAAGAAATAGCTGAACATACACGCGAACCACGTTCCGTTTCCAACGTAGAAGCAGGTATGTGACATTCAAGGTTACTTTGCAGGGGAGGAACAGGAGTTACTGTCGTTCTCAGATACACGAATGTTAGTTTTTGGTTCTAATTTTAGCCCGAAATAATGACGAGACATGAACATTTGCACTTCAAATCCTTTTAGAAAATTTGTCTTGCTAGCGAGTATTACAGTTTCCGTGCTTGTCTGTCCAATATTTATGTTTTAATGTAAACAACTAACATTAGTAGCACAGCCATAAAGTTGATGTGCCCCTTTCAGTTTCTAAATCTTCTGCTTTTCTATAATTCTCCTAATGGTGTATTCCAAAGCGAAGTTGAGAGCACAAGTAAAGCATCACACTGCCTACGTATTGAGGGTAGAAGCACCCTGAAGCTGGTGGCAGAAAGTTCCTCCAAAACATTGCTACCCATGTCATAATACAGGAGTCCACAATATGAATGCGCAACACATCTTTGCTGCATTTGCTTAAAATGAGTGTGCAGCGACCGCAAGCCCTCGCTTTCTCGGAGCGCGGTTGGGCAGTGTTCAAATGGTTGAATGGGCCTCAGACGGAAGGCTGAACTGTGGAGGGAAACATCTTAAACTAAGAATAATGTAAATTTACTCAAAATATCTCTTGCTCTTCACCTAGGATGGAATACCCTACACTGGTAGAACACATGCTTTAATTTTACACAATTTTGAGTGTCATACTTACAATGTTTACTTTAATTTAGGCAAGAACTCCTGGTAGAAAGTTTGCAAAACACGTCTATGGTGAAGAATGCGTTAAACGTAACATAAATTAATCAGACCCACTACTTCTCAGAAAACCTGTTAACGCCGGTAATCGAACCCGGAACCTCTGAATATGTAGCCAGGAAATCTGACCACTAGACCACAGAGGCGATCTAACGGTTTCCTATAAAAATATATATTATTTACATTAAAATCTTAAAGCCTTAAAAACACAAAATATTTCGGCCTTTACTGAGTCATCATGAGGTGTATTGTTTGTGCTTAGTGCCGAACTCGCTTTTTAATACCCATGCATATTTTTAATATGACTATATTACACGCAATATTATGCTTTTTTATTGCTAGTGAGGTGGGACTAAGTCCCTTGTACTGCGGCCAATTTCTGGCCTATTGTACCAGCCCCAGATGATAGGTGAGGGAGATTGTGGAGCAATTGGTGGAATGAAGATTGGCAGGGGAAGCCGAAGTACTCGGAAAAATCCTGCCCCAGCGTCACTTTGTCCACCACACATCCCACTTGACCAGACCCGGGATCGAACCCGGGCCGCCGCGGTGGGAAGCCAGCGACTAACCGCTTGAGCTATGGCGGGGCCCCGATATTATGCTTAGTACTAGAACTCTTGGTATTATCTACTTTTTAGTCCAATTATGTTGGTATTAGTTAAATTACTGTATATCTAGTTGAATGTTAAATTAAGGTCGAAAATAAAATTAAAATATATGCCTGTAACTATTATAGTGAACCGGGATAGCTCAGTCGGTATAACGACTGGCTACGGTCTGGATGACTGGTCGGAGTTCAAGTCCCGGTAGGGTCAAGAAATTTCTCTTCTCCAATTCGTCCAGATCAGCTTGGTGTCCACCCAAACTCCTATCCAATGGGTACCTGGGGCTCTTTCGCCGGGGGTAAAGCGCTCGGGGCGTGATGCTGACCACTCGCCTCCAATTAGTACCGAGGTCAAGAAAATGTGAATCTATACATCCAGTCCCCCATACGCCTTCATGACGTAGTGCTTAATTAGTTTAGCACAGGACAACTTTACATTTTTTAAATATTAGTTATTTCGCTGGTGTCCTGGTCCCTCTGGTCTGACTCCTTCCCAGGTGGGTGTGACGGTATGAACGCTTGTTATGTTCACATGCATTGTCTCTCGTATTCGGGTTGCAAGTTTGGTGTAGTGTGACTTTCTTCGAGATGTTATCATATGGTATATGGAGAAATCCCGTGTTGTCTTGTAGCTCACTCACCCACGGACCTGAGCCCTCCTTGAGAAGCCGCCAATTGTGCAGCTACTCAGGAACTAATCCAAGCATTTTACGGAACCCGAAGGTTCATTACCGTGTTCACAAGAGCCCTCCACTGGTCCCTATTCTGAGACAGATCAATCCAGTCAACACCACCCCATGTTGTGTTGTAGGTGGTTTTTTGAAACTGTTATGTCGACTGATGTATAATACTCAGTCGATCAGTAACTATATTCTTCTTGTTGCTTGGTTTTGTTCGATTTACTTTTTTTTTAATTCGCATAATGGTGGGTGGAGTCCAGCTGTGTCCACTCGTCGCGGCGGCCACTGATTGGCCTACTGTACATGCCTCGGGTGATTATGATGATGGAGAATTTGGTGGAATGAAGATTAGTAGGGGAAACCGCAGTTCTCTGATAAAACCTGCCCCAGCACCATTTTGTCCACCACAAATCCCACTTGACAAGACCCGGCCTCGAACCCGAGACGCCGCGGTGGGAAGCCAGCGACTAACCGCTTGAGCTATGGCGCGGCCTGGATTTACTCTTAGACCCTGAAGATAAATGCAGTATATTCTTCGGATAAGTCGAAAAATTCTACCAAACTATATAGTGTCACCGAACGGCTTGGTGTAACGGTGACGCTGAAGGACTGTGTTCATTAGTTATGGTTCGACTCCCGTTCGGGGCACCTGTTACCCTGAATAAAAAAAATCGTGATTTTCTCAGTCATTCCAGGCAAACGGCAGGATAGTTCCCTAGTCAATGAACTGCCATTTCTTTCCAGATCCCTTCACATTCATCTGTCATCTTACCATTAAACAGTTCATATTCTAGGTTATGGGAGCGTCGCATAATACTATGGAGTTTCTCTAAAGTATTATCGGGGTTTTCCGTTTATTGGCCATGGAAATCCTGACAATAATTTAGAATCACCATGTACTCCCTCCCCCAAATATAGACTGCGTCACACAGTTATCTTCATAGTCAACCGACTTGGGAACCGTGTATCACGCATAACATTAAATTCTTGTAGCTATTAGAAATTACATTTTTTCCGGGTTATTTCTTTGAGAGAGAAAAAAAATCTTTTCAGTTTGCTCTGATTTATTTCTTTTTATTTTAAAATGATTCATTAGTGTAGAATCCCCGGGACACCGTCTATTTTTAACACGTTACCCTTACCCCAGAGGGAGGTCCATGGAGAACAACACATCATGAAATGCAAGCAATAAAAGCCCCGTACCTCGATAAGTTAACGCGCCAGATAATTTGTATTGTGTCTCTGACATGAACGCCCGTAGTATGAATTAATTTATCAGGCGAAGCACCTGCTCATTTTTAAAAGGGATAGCACACTCAATTTGTTATGAGGACATTGATAACTCTACAAGAATCCATCAATCAACGCGTAAAACCTGTGTTATTCGTAAAAAAAAAAAAAGCGTTCGGAGGAGGAATACATCAGTTATCGGTGTCAGGACAAATAAAATATACGTGACCGTATATTTCTGGGTACGAAAAAACAGATATCGCCTCAAAAATATATTTTATAGCTTCCGAAATGAGTAATTCCACTTCGTGGTCGATTATTTACTCACGTACACGGGTTGCAGTTACGCCCTGACCTTCGTATTTCAGGTTTGTAAAGATTAAGTCGGAATATCAGACCACTGGGAAGACCAAGGCGTAGGTGGGTTGACAATATTAAAATGGATCTTAGAGATAGGATGGGATGGTATGGATTGGATTGATCTGGCTGAGGATAGGGAGGGTTATTTTGAACACGGTAATGAACATTCGGGTTCCATAAAATGCTGGGAAATTCTTGAGTAGCTGCAGAATTGACGGCTCCTCAAGAAGGGCTCAGATCCATAAGTAAGTAAGTAATGTAACAATATCTGGAGACGGGGTTAGAAGTTCTTATATTTTCACAATATCCTGGCCGTTTCAGGGACTTTTTCACACTCTTACATAATGGTTACTGGTGGCTGTTTCCGTGGGAGTAAAGCGGCAGAGGCTTGAAGCTGACCACTCACCTCCATCTAGTGCTAGAAGTTAAGAATAATGTAGGCCGCGCCATAGCTCAAGCGGTTAGTCGCTGGCTTCCCACTGCGGCGGTTCGGGTTCGATCCCGGGTCTGGTAAAGTGGGATTTGTGGTGGACAAACTGGCGTTTGGGCAGGTTTTCTCCGAGTACTTCGGTTTCCCCTGCCAGTCTTTATTCCACCAAATTCTCCATCATCATAATCACCCGGGGCAGGTACAATGGGCCAATCAGTGGCCGACGTGCCGAGTGGACCCAGTTAGACTCCACCCTCAGCTAGCGAATTAAAAAAAAAAATTAAGAATAATGAAGCTATACCTCAAATCCGCATTCGTCTGCTTAGTACTGAGTTAAATTAAACAAACACAAAACCTTACCTGTTATATGGGCTTTTTCTGTAGGAGTAAAGCGGCAGAAGCATGAAGCTGACCGCCCACCCCCATCCAGTGCTGAGGTTAAGAACTTTTTTTATTTATTTAATCAATAGTGTATTTACAGTGTGCTCTCTATAATATGGAGCAATAAGCAAATCTGCTCTAAGCAGAGAAGCCATCCGCTAATGTTACTCTGACAGGCCCTGTAGAGGAATGTTGATGGTTTTAATCATCGTCATTGCGGGTTGCGGTAGGTCAGGCGGTCACTGTCTCCTCAGTCCTCTTACATTTGGTGGGTTAGGGCTCGCCATAGCTCAAGAGGTTATTCACTGGCCTCCCACCGCGGCGGCCCGGGTTCAATCCCGAGTCTGGTCAAGTGGGATTTGTGGTGGACAAAGTGGCGCTCGGGCAGGTTTTCTCCGAGTACTTCGGTTTCCCCTGCAAATCTTCATTCCACCAATTGCTCCACAATCACCCTCACTTATCATCTGGGGCTGGTACACTAGGCGAGAAGTGGCCCCAGTACAAGGGACTTAGTCCCACCCCACTAGCAATTAAAAAAATAATATATTTGGTGGATTGCTAATTTCTACAACTAG